CTCTATAATGAAGCTCAAACAATACATTCAGACTGCTATCTGATATTTTGGCTTCCCTTTAGCCACGTATGAATATTCATGGATATGACATTTCTATTTCAAATTAGAGCTACTGAATATATTCTATTGTGGATTAATACATTAACCCATATTGCCATAATTTTCCTCTCATATTCCTGAATAATCATGAAACTCCAATTCCAATTAAAAAGTATGGCTGTCTCAGCATTCATCGTAAACTTCGGTAAATGGATCAATTAAGTCAGATTACCATGTGGACATTAAATTACAACTAAGCAAAATTAGTAGAAAATTAGTATCAAAGTCAGTCTAAAAGGAGAAAATGGACCATAAGTTAACCAACTCTCAGGCTGACAGGACTGTGAAGCAAATGGTGCAACCTGCCTCCTCTTATCATGGATCATTCCTTTGTGGCAGCCCGTTCACCACCAGATGAATAAAGAATCCACAGTGGCCCCTATGTGCCACGCTCCTAAAGACCACAGAGGCTTGCAGTTCACCCCAATTAAAGAAACAGACATAATGAGTGACAATTCCATAAAGATTTGTATGCCTGTGTGGGCATTTTCCGTACTTATTACTTACTTAAAGTGACTTGAGGACCTTAAAAACAGATAACTTATTACCGACAAATCTTCATGTGGAACAGCTCTTTGAGAGCTCCCACAATCCCCTTACATTAAAAAAAAAAAAAAAAAAAAATCTCAGGCTTGGGATCTAGTTCATTGGCACAGCGCCTTCCTGGCAAGCACGAGGTCCTGAGTTTTATTCTCGGTAACCACAGAAAAAATAAACTGAAGAATAGAAATACCTTTGGAAGAATAACAGGATAAACTCACCACAGACACTACTAATAAAGTAATATTAAACATTATAAAAAGAGTCTCCATTCTAATACAAACAATAGGCATGTTTAGTATAAAAAGGAACAGTCCACATACCAGGACTTCTCGCATCCCTCAAGCAGGTAGGAGACTCCATATGAAGTAGGGCTTCAGCAGCTTCAATTGTCTTATCAGTACAGTGCACATTACTGCTGTGAACTGATGCTTCCACTGGGAAGAAAGTAAAACACTCAATTAAAAAATGAATTAAACACATTCTAGGAAACATTTTCATAGAATACATAAATTACTGATACATTAGTTTATCAATTATACAAATTTTAAATTTCAAAACTGAAATAAGACAGCATCTGCTTTGTAAAATGAATATTGCTTTTTAAATGAGATTTAAAATTAATGAGAATTCTTCAGATATTCTCCAAGTGAAAGAGACGTCATTTTTAAAAAAACAAAACAAAACAAAACAAAACAGGGCTATCTCTATGTAGCCTAAGCCAACCTCAAACTGGATCTCTCTGCTTCAGCCTCCCAAGTGCTTGGATGACAGACATGAGCCACCATGCCCCATTGAGGAAAGACCCTTGAATTTTTTTTTTTTTTTTTTTTTTTTGGGTGGAACCGGGGGTTGAACTCAGGCCCTTGCACTTGCCAGGCAAGTGCTTATTCTACTGAGCCACCTCCCCGGCCCTGACCCTTACTTTGAACTCCCCACCAAAACTAACAGCAGGTGCACGTTTGAAGATTAACAATCACTGTGAGGTCAATTCTGTATTTTGACACATATACAACCTGCACCAAAACAGGAAAAGTAGGGTACTAAGAAGAATCAATCAGAAACATTATTTTCTTTCTTTCTTTCTTTTTGTGGAACTGGGGATTGAACTCAGGCCCTTGCACTTGCGAAGCAAGCGCTTATTCTACTGAGCTATCTCCCCAGCCCCCTCTAATTTAATTTAATAAAGTTGTTTGATTCTTAAAAACTACTCCAGATGAGCAAAGAGAGATCTCTAAACAAGGCTACTGGCAGATGGATTAAAAACCTACACTTGCTTTAGCGTCAGGACTCGCAACTTGCTTCATCTAACCTTATTCTTTTACTTCATTTTTTTTAGCATCTTTTATTTTATTTTTTTCCATAATTTCATTGATAAACAAATAGCGATTTTATTTCATTTTTTATTTTATTATTTTCTTTTATGTATTTGGTACAGGATCTCACAGGCAGCTCAGACTCATAGTGGTCCTCTTGTCTCAGCCTCCCCAGTGCTGGGATTACAGGGGTGCACCACCATACCTAGTCTCAATGTCCAGCTCAGTGGCCCAGGGGCAGGGTTGGCACAGCCTGTGGCGTATTCATTTCTTTAAAACCTCCCTGGAGATTACTAACTTAGTTTGCTTTTTTTTGGTGGTGGTTGTTTGTTTTCCATTTTACACCCATGAAGCCTTTTCTAATTCTACCACTTTTGTACCTCTCTTCTACCTATCTTTTACTGCTTTGATATTAAGTTACCTGTGCAAACAGTAAAGTGTACAAACTCTGGTTTGGGCTTCCAGTCCAGCAGCAGCTTGGGTTCTAGCCTGCCACTCAGGCAAGCAATTTAAGCTCTCAAACCTCAGCTGCTTCTTTCCCCAAACAGGGCTATTACTTACCTCAACAGTTAAATGACTCCCATAAAAACCAGTGACGACTTCTGTTGTCTCCACATTTAATAAAATGCAATAGTGATCTCGTTTGGCTCCTGTAAACTTCTACGCTCCTCAAGGACCAAGGAGCTACCTTAACTCAACTGTATATCCCCTAATAGACTTTCCAAATGGCACATAAATGTATTTCTTTTACCTGAATTAAGGTCAATCCACTGACCTTCTAAGAAAACTGACAAGTCAGGAACAAACATTATCTTAATGATATATCAGTTACACATTCTGATTTTAAACACTGAATAATTTACTTGGTAAGAAGTTGTGAAATATTAATATGTAAGTTTTTAACTTGATTTTTCCCAATATTCTAGTCCCTTCAAGGAACTAGAAATAAATGTTTATACAAATTTCATAAAGTCATATTACAAATTCACAAGTTCCACATACTTAAGATATGAACCTTTAAAAACTGGTTTCAGGACTTTTAATTGGGAAAAATACACTTGGCCTTAAAAATTCACCAAATGCTGTAAAGCCTCGGCCTTAAACTTAGCCAGTCATTTGGAGAATGTTTGTTTAAGAACTCCAGGGACGGTTTTACCACCTGTTGCACATCATCCACACTCTCAACCAAGGTACTAGGTCTCTCCAGTTGCTCTTTCCATTTATGGCAATCTGCTCAAAGCTAAATGGTTCCAGAGAGGCAGCCAAACCTCTAAGTAAATCTATCTTTAGGTGACCCTGCTTACTCTTATCTGCAGCTTCCCTGAAGCGAAGGATTCAATCGGCCTTTTTAGCTCAACTTAATTATGCTAAGAATAAAATATACTACTATTCTTAAGTATTTTTTTAGTGCCTCCCTATAATCTTCACATAGGTTAATGAACCTAGGAAAACAAAATTTCAGGTTTTTAAAATTTAGCCTAGGAACCATCATCTTTAAAGTCAGCTTGGTGTTGTAATTTAGCTGTTGTCTTAGGTGCTATTAATAAACCATCCTGGGTAAACTAATTCCTTATGTAATTGTATTAGGACACTACCTATTACAGTCAGAGCTTCAATTGTTTAATAATTACGCAAAAGTAGAATTTTACCAGATTTTAACATATTTAGGTTATAAGCAAGGTACAGTTTGCCTGAGGGTTTCATATTATGTACCCTACAATCTTAGGTACTTTGAGGTACATTTTCACAACCATGAGCTCCATTTTATAAAGTTTATTACGTTAATAAAATTCCTTCCACTGTCCCTTGTAGCCTGAACCCAGGGCCTCATGCATGCTAGACAAGCCCTCTACCACTGAGTGTGTCCAAACCATTTACTTATTTATTTACTTTTAAGACAGGATCTAGCTAAGGAGCCCACTGGACTTAAACTTGTGATCGTCCTGCCTAGTCTCCCAAGTAGCTGGGATTACAAACTAGACTTACAGGTGTACATCAGTATGCACAGCTTGGTTTCTACCTTTATTGATAACTTGGACTTGTACTTCTTGCCATTTTCATCTACCAACTTGAATATTGCTACATACTAAAAAATCTAAGAGCCTACTCTCAAATCAATTTAAAGTAATATAATGACATCTCCAATATATTATCCATATTATAAAAATAAGCACTATATTTCTTTATATGTATGCAGACACAAGTAATATTGTATTTTTGGAGATGGTCTCAAATTTATGATCCTCCTGCCTCAGCCTTCTGAGTGCTAGGACTACAGGCATGTACCACCATGGCCAGCTAACAACTTTTTGTGAATAGCAATTTAAGATATACACCTCTCCTAGTCAAGTTTCTGCTATTTATTTATTTATTTATTTTATGTATTAAGTACAGGATCTACAGGGTCTCACTGCACAGCTCGGACTCACAGTGATCTTCCTGTTTTCAGCCTGTCATGCGCTGGGATGACAGATGCTCACCACCATGCCCAGTCTCAGTTCCATCTCAGCACGGGGGGGGGGGGGGGGTTGCAGAGCCGACATGGCCCAATCCCTGGGTGCTGCACTCTGCCTAAGCAGGTGCTTTAGTCAGCTGAGCTATCAGGCCGGCCCTCTTTTCCTTGGTACAGGGTCTCACCATTGAGCAGCTCAGACTCATAGTGATGCTTCTGTCTCAGCCTCCCCAGTGCTGGGATTATAGGCACGCTCCACCACGTCCTGTTTCAGTAGTCAACTTTGAATGGGGCCAGGACAGCATGCTACACCAGGGATCCTAGCACTTGCCATGAAGATGCTTTATGTTTTCAATACTAGTTGTTCAGATCAATAAGTCAAATAAGTCGAAACTATACAATTCTAAAGTATAAACTTGAATTTAACAGTGTTGTACAATCAAAAGTAAGCAAGCTAAAGCAACAGCTAAAAATAACATTCCTTAACCAATCTTGTTTCTCAGCCTATATAAAAGTAGAAACAGTAAAGTTAAAATTGGATAGGTTTCATTTTCTAATAGTTGCTATTTTTGGTCAATTCTCCTTCAAGAAATAAATGCCATCAAATATATGACAAAAATTACTTTTAACCATGGTGGTTGCTTGTGCCTTCCCTTACTATTGGTAAAAATACTCTTGTTCCATTTGTGTATCTCTAATCAACTGCTGTTTGTATGGTAGAGTATTCCAGACTCACTCAACAGCTGTTAGAAAATACCAAACTTGGTAATTAACTCTGACAAGAGGCATACCTCTCAGCTTTGCAGAATGCTGGCAATAGATGCAGTACATAACAATGTTCTCAGAGTGGGGAATAAGATTCAGTAGCAATTTAGTTTGACAGCAATGGGGGAAAAAATGAGAGAACACTTAACCAATTCATAGTCCCCTACAACCAAAATCATAAACTAATATTACAAGGTTACCTTTCACTCTACTACTACACCGATTCACCAAGGCTTATCTCCTAATGCGCCCAGACTTTAATACAAATAATACAATAAACAGAGAAAAGAAGGTAAAAAAAAGTCTGGGACATTCCACCTTTACCTTTTTCCCTTGATTTTGCTAACAGTATAGTGGCCACTGCAATGTATATAAGGGGGGGGGGAATCAACAACAAAAAAACCCCTAACATTGTTTTCTAAATCAGAGCTATCCAATATATAATTTTTTTTTTTCAGTACTGAGGATTAAAACCAGGGCCTTTACACTGAATGAAGCCATATTCCCCACCCCATTTTGTTTCTTAATTTTTTTATTTTTATTAGTACATTTGTAGTACATAATGATTGTGTTCTGTAGTGGACTGGTATGCATAACACATCTCAATTCTTTGTCCTCCTTCCCTGGCACCCACCTTTTAGTATTTTCTTTTGCCATCATCAGATTCATTTATTTACTTTATAAGTCTTTATCAAGTTCCCAACCAACTTTTTTATTGAGACAGGGTCTAGCTAAATTGCCCAAACGGGGCTGGAACTTGCAATCCTCTTGCCCCAGCCTCTCAAGAATGTTAAGGATCACATGTGTATCACTACACCTGACTAAAGCCACATGTAATTTAAAATTTTTTCATAACCACATTTTTAAAAGCACAAAGATGGCATGAATATTCATTTAACCCAGT